ATTGGTGATTGTTCTGTGTGATAAGGTCACCTAATCATGCCTGTGCCTTTGCAACTACAACAACAATGTCACTGCTGCGATTCATCCCACATTCTCCAGCATTTCTGGCTAGCCTTGGACAGTTTGTTTTCTTCAGACATAGGTAATTTGTAGAGGTGTTTAACAGCTGATTCAGATTTGAGTTGGTAGCAATTCCATTCTTTCAGATGATGTTCAGAATTGCTTGGTTTGTGCCCTTTCAAGAAAAACAACACCCCTCTCCCCCCAAAAAACAAACAAACCCAAGCAAACAAACAAACCCAAACCAACCAACAAAAAAGCACAAACACCCCCCCCCCAAAACCAACTAACCAAACAAACTCAACCCCCCCAAACTTGTGGCAAGCTGTAACCATATGTTTGAGTTATTTTTTTTAAAGTGGATTTACATATTGAATACAGTCTAGCAGAAAATCTGTGCTTTGCTTATGTGTGATGGAGATAAAGTGTGCAAGCATTATTAGGCTGTTTATTATAGCATTTGTTTTTCTGGAAGATGCTCATTTTCAGTTTTTTTCAGAAAACATGGGCTTCTCTTGCATATTAACTGAAGTTTATTGCTTTTTTATTGCAAGGAGAGAGGCTGGTGAGCTGTTTGTAGGTCTGGGGGGTAGTGATGGCAAATGGCTGTAAATTGTCTTGGAGATCACTTTCGGTTGTAGGCCCTTAAGGAGGAGAGGTGGAAGAAGCTGAGTTAATGTTTGTACAGTTCTCCCCTTTCTTCTGTTTTGCTCTTAAATAGTCATGATTTTCAAAACATAATTTTGGTAAGTACTTGTCTAATGAATATGACATGAGGAAACAAGGTCAATATGCCTGCCAAACAGAGCCTCCCAGCATCCCCCAAAAGGGATCCTAAATCACTTTGATGCATGTCCCTTTATGGGGGACATACTGCCTGGTGTGCTCCACAGCATCGCTGAGCATCTCTGACCTCTAAGGAAGGTCTATGTATCAGCATAGTTAAACGGGTCAGACTTGTAAAACTCACATTCTTTCCTGGTTGTGCTTCAGGATGTTTATATTGTGATGGGTTGTCTCAGTTTTTACTGTATTGGTAGGGAATTCATGGTATTTTGAAGGAGGAATGGCAGGAGTGTATTCAGAGGAAAACAAAGTGAGTACAGTCCAAAGTCATCAGAGAGGATATATTTGGTTCATCAGCAGTGTTGGTCAGCTGAAAAATGCTTGCTTTGCCATGAATGAAATTCAAGTCTTTGTACAAGAGTGAAGCAGGAAGCTCTGTCATGTTCTTGATTATACAGACTTTTGTTTTAACCTCCCTCCTACTTTTCTGAGTTGCCAGAAGTCTTGATTGAGCCAGGCATTACTTTGTCATCTGAAATCATTCTGGGATGCTCATGCCAAGCGGTTTTCATGAACTGAAGGGCAAGTATGGATTTTAGATCATCTTCACACTACTGTGAATAACATCACCTGTGTTAAGTCATGTTTTATTTGTCGCTGTATTTGTGAAACCTCAAGTTCCCAAACTTTGAAGACAAGATGTATAAGGAGCCTTTGTGCCTTGCCCATCCCCAGTGGCTCTTTCAGACACAAGCTAATGCATCCCTGAGACCAGACAGCCATTGGCTGAGGTTAGTATGCAAGTGCAGCAGTCATGGCTGGAAATTGATATGTTCTTCGCTTCTTGGAGCACTCAAGACAATGACCTCATCAACCTTCAGGAGGATGAACAAGGCATGGCAAAGAGGCACAGAGCTGCTGGTCCAAAATTGCATCTTCACTCCTGAAGGATGATTGGCAATGGTACTGATAACCCTGAAGCGTGAGATAGCAGAAAGCCAACTAAATGGAGAACTCCTGCAATGCAGAGGCATTATGGCGCTGTAAATCTCACCAACCCAGACTTGTTTTGTTTGAGAAAAATGACAGCTTGCCTTGCTAAATGTCTACACTGCTCACAGCGGGAGAGGGTTCATGTAGAAATGCACCTTTATTTGTGCTCTTCAAATAACTGAGAGTCGAGAAATGGCAGTAGGAGGCAGAAGGTAATGGCCAATACTGAGGACAATTGGGTGTACTTAAGAAAGATTATGAATTTTGGGGCAAAGATCACTCTTCTGACTGGGTATCTGCCTGAAGTTGTGCCGATGCTGGGGTGTTGTGTTGCATAAAGGTTCAAGTCAAACAGCCTCTGTTTCTCTAGGATATTTTAGAGGGTTTGAACAGCACAACAATGATGCTGTCAAACTTGGAGGAAGAAAGCAAGGAGGAGATTTTGGCAGTGCTGAGTACAAGCATGTGCTACAGACTGCTCCAATCTTTAGAGGTTCATTTGGTAGCTGAACGCACAAAGTAGGCATTTTAGTAATCTATGGGAGATGTGTTTGTTTTATGTGATGTCCAGTAGTCTTGTTTTCTCTAATTAGAAAGCCACAGTGAAAAAAAGAGACTCTCTGTTGCCACCCATATATATTGTGTTTCTGCCCAGGCTTTGCCGGCTGCGTAGCACTGGGAATTTACAGGAAAGCAAATTCAATGCATCAGTGAAAATTCAGCACAGCAGTCGGTAATTCTGGCTGGTTAAGTAATGGTAATGTGGTCTCAAATGACCAGAGTGGCTATTTGGCAAGTTAGCTTTATTGATATGTCTTGCTAAATGCTGTCATTACCTCATGTATTGTTTTCCTTTATTCAAAATAACTTGCGTTTGACTTCCTTAAATAAATGTGTGCATTGACTATTGATTATCAATGTACCTGTTATTCTTTTAAGTTAACCTTTTTGGAAGCTGTGTCTTCTCCCACCCTTTTGTTCTGCCCAGGCAATGCTTAATAATTCACAGCACCCCTGCTAATTTAAAAGGGGAGCATGACTGTCTAATCTAACAGCTTCTAACAGAGTGACACTGGAGATAATAAATACCACCTCTTCTCCTTTCTCTTAGTTTTCGTCATTCAAGTTATGTAGGATAGATTTGTTGTGCAGGTGAAAGCACAGCAATGAAGAGAGGCTGGGATTTTAAAAAAAGTTTTTAGATTCACAGGTTCTGGTTTTTCCTTTGTTATTTGTTGTTGCTGTTTTTTTTTTTCTTTCGTTAAAATCGGTTTAATATGGGTAGATTTTGTTTATTTCCCCAAAGGACTAGCTTTTTTCTAGGCTCTGGACTTTTTGAAAGGTATGCTTGTGTGCAATATAGATGGAATGTATTCTCTTCATGTTGTATTTATTCCTAGCACTCAGCTGCCAGGTACCAGCATCAACCCAGGACCCTTTCCACAGGGTGGCTTCCCAGCCTAGATGGAGACATGGGGTTATTGCTGTGGGGGGAGCATTTCGATTAAAAGCACGGATTTCTTCCCTTTTTACCTCTCCATTTACCTTGTCCTCAGGAATTGGAGAGCCATCGTCCACATCAAATGGTAGTTGCATTTTTGGTTTTCATATTTGGGATTTTTATTTTCCCCAGGAATAAAATGAATGGCCTTTGTGCTGTGAATAGTTTTCTGTGTGAAATCAGAGCAGGCTCATTTTCCACAGGACCTAAAATCACTTCCCCACTAGTTCCAATTAAGCAGTGTTTGCACTTGAAATCAGGACTGTTTATATGGAATTAATGTTTTCAAATGTGATTAAAAAGCAAATAGTTGTATATAATCTCTGCAAACTAATGAAAAAGAATAAAGTGAAATGGTTTAAACCAGCTTTGTTTACACTCCAGAGTTACTGTGTATGCATATTCAGTGGTGGTTACACTTTTCCAAATCTAGTTGCTCTTTTTCTGCTGAAGTAGCTGATAATCAGATTTGTACATTCAAAGAATGTTTTATAAAAAAATGCTTACTTAAATTTTTTTCTGTTTTCTGTCCTTCCAAATTTGAGCCCAGGGTCAAGAAGTGACAGGGAAAGGGTTTTGTTAGTAATAAGAGTTTGTGAGAACCTGCTTTCTTATTATGGTACTGTCTCGCTGTGTGTTTTGACAGCCTAATGATTCCCACTTTTGCTCAAATGCAGCCAGTTGCGAGTGTTTCCAGTCTGAGAGAAGCTGAGGCACAGAAGTTGTCTTACTGGGGTTAATGCTATGAAACTTTGCAAGGGAACTCTTGACAATTCACTTTTTTATTTTATTTTATTTGGTCTTTTTTTCCCCTTCCTGGAGCAGAAAGTGCAACAGCTTGGCCTCTGGCAGGATAAAAAACAGAGACACACTGGTTTCATGCAGTTTATATTTTCGTTTGGCTGGGGAGCAGTGCAGACGAGTTCACAGACCTTGAACATTTTGGTGCATTCCTCTTCCTTCTTGTTTTCAACTCAGAAGAGCCTTTTGGCAAAGCACCACCAGCATCCCGAGCATACATCTGCAGACAGGCTTTCAGTGTTTTTTCAGAGGTAGATGGAAGCAGGGAGCTCAATGGCTCTGTTAGATTTGGGGTGGGATGCTGAGGCACATCATTACACATATATTATCTCAGATTTATTTATTAGTGCGGGCCACGTGCTCTGTCCTTGGGAATGGGGGTCGTTATTCTTGGCGGATGCAAGGACAATCAGCATGCCTGTACTTGAACTACTTCAGCAATATTGGTTACATCAGGGTTTTCTTGCTGAGACTTCATTTTCATGGTAATCTGCATGAAAAGAACTGCTTAATTCTCTCTCTCAGAAATCAGACTGCATTTGATGCCTTTTATTGGAAAAAGCAGAGAAGCCAGTAGTGGGAAGCACTGTGGTTGCAGTGATAATATGAAGAGGGTGAACTTTTTTGGGAATTGGCAGATACTTCTATTTTCTTCTTGAACTGAATGAAACAGAAGAGGCCCCTGCAAGGCGCTGCAGGTTCCTTGGAAGTTATTACAGTAACAGTGACCATCTGGGAGCCATAATGTTTCATAACAATAAATAATTAACTCCAGCAAATTAACTCAAATTCTCATTCATCAGAACAATAGGGAAAAAAAAAGGTGTTATTGAATAATCCTGAAATCAAATTTTTCAGCATCTTTCTTGCAGGGGGACTTTCTCAATTTGTTTGCTTCTTTATATTGAGCACAAACTGTCCTCAGTTTCCAAGCACTAAAGGAAAAGCCGTTTTCCTCTCTTGCTCACCCAGGGGTGTATGTACAAATGCCTGAGGTTATCAGTCTCTCTCCTCTTCTTGTCACCTTGTTGAGACAAGTCTTTTTAAAAAAATACTTCCTTGCACTGAACTTTGAGTGGACTAATTTGATTCTCCGTAGGATGTCTGATGATGGCCATGCCTTCTGACTGCTGAGCAAAGTAAATTGCATGTGAGTAACTATAGCTTACTGTGATATGCGGGCAGCAACCAGAGACCTCAGAATCCTCTAAGCATGTGTGGGATGTGCAGATGTAGCAGGGAGGTGCTTGTTTTTTTTACATCTTTATGAAAGATCTACCAACCACTTATGGTACTGTTCTGCTTCTTAAGCAGAAACAACTACTTAAGATTTACAAGTGGGATGGCTCTGTTTATTCTAATCCTGCATTATATGTAGAAGCACACAATCAGTAATCTTGCAACAGTGGTGTTGCGATGTGGAAAGTGCTGGCATTCCTGATCTGAAGAGGCATGTAAAGTAGAAGTGATGGTCAAATGTGATTTCAGCCCCATCTTTTTCAGAGGCTAAACTAGGGAGAAGGGGAAGAAAATACCAGCAGACTTTAGGGTTTTACATATTATATATATTATATGGGACCTTAAAGCTCATCCACTTCCAACCCCTGCCACAGGCAGGGACACTTTCCACCAGACCAGGTTGCTCAAAGTGCCATCCAGCCTGACCTTGAACACTGACAGTGATGGGGCAGCCACAGTTTCTCTGGGCAACCTGTGCCAATGTCTCACCGCCCTCACAGTAAAGCATTTCTTCCTAATACCTAATCTAAATCTCCCCTCTGTCAGTTTAAAGCCATTTCCCCTTGTCATATCCCTACAGATCCTTGTAAAAATCTCCTCTCCAGACTTGTTGTCAGACCCTTTAGGCACTGGAAGCTGCTCTGAGGTCTTCCCAGAGCCTTCTCTTTTCCAGGCTGAACAAGCGCAGCTCTCTCAGCCTGCTTCCATAGAAGAGGTGTTCTAGTCTTCAGAGCTTCTTTGTGGCCTCTGGACTCTTGAGCAGGTCCATATACTCCCTGCACTGGAGGCCCCAGAGCTGAACGCAGTACTGCAGGTGGTGTCTCACCAGAATGGAGTAGAGGGGAAAAATCACCTCTCCTGATCAGCTTGTTGCACTTTTGAGGCAGCCCAGGATATTGTTGTCTTTCTGGGCTACAAGTGCACGTTGCCAGGTTATGTTGAGCTTCTCATTGTCCAGCATCTGAAAAAAGTGTGCAGGAGAGATTGCTGCAGCCCACACAGAAGTCAATGATGGTGAGATGTCTTTTGCGCAGGCACTTCCATCTTGGGCAGCTGCTCTGCAATTCTGGCAGAATAAAAGCCACACAGGCCTTGCCAGACTGCTATTTCCCAGTCCCCTGAAACTTGTTTGAACATGCAAGATGTATTTATTAAGGGATTGATCTGGGAGTGCTCAGGCAGCAATGAGTGCACTGGTTGCATTTCAGCAGTCCATGTATTAGTTTATATGGGAAAAATGAGGAGGAGAATCTGGTATAAAGTAGGCTGCTCCCATTCTCCTCCTTCACATGGCAACTCTGCTCCACAGCCCAGGAGTAATTTTTGCAGCACAACTTCTTATTACCCTCCTATTAATCTGACTAATAAATTGCTAACAGGTAAAATAATACTGGGAAAAAATGAGTCAGCTCTTCTATTAAAAAAATCACAGGGTTTGATCTAGTTACTGCTTGAAGAAATGTTAGAGGAGTTTGAAATGTACTAAATAATTGTGGCAGTTAAGGTTATGATTGTGGCTGCACTGCACCAAATGGAGGTTTAAATTTTATTTGATATCTACTTACCTCTGCATAGTAAATTGCATGAGAATTATGAGGTTCGCAACTGGTGATTTACTTTACAATTTCCTTCATGTTTTTTTCTGTCTTGGAGGTTTGTTAATATTTTTTTTTTTTGCAGGGGCAAAGCTTTGAATGCAAGGCCTGGAAATTGTGTGTGCTTTCTGGCTGTAGGCAAGAAGATGTCAGCATTGTACAGTGCATTCTCCCCCTCCCCGTTCTCCCCCCTAAGGAGGATTTTATTGTGCCATCAGAATAAAAGATCACCCTTGTAGTTGGTACAGTTGTTTGCTCTTGGTTTGTGGAGCACATATAGGAAGAAATAGTAAATTTTTTTTCTCTACCCCCCCCCGCACTGTCGTACTATGAAATTCACGAAATGACTGTTTTATTGTCATCTTCTGGATTAAGCTAATCTGTAGTTATAATACAAGGCTGCTAAAATGTTGCTGTTGGGGAAAAAATGGATCCTTCTCTGGGCTTCATAGCTTCTACCTTCCTGTGTGAGAGTAGCTTTTTTTTGTAGCTGTGTTAGCATAAGAGTAATAAAGGCCACTTAATGAGTCTATGTCTGTTTATAATTATCTTGAAAATAAAAATGGATTTTGTGTTATAAAAAGGGGGGCTGCTGCTAATATAATGAAGAAACGATCAGGGTATTTTTATTTGCCCTAAATTACCCTGTGAGAATAACACTGATGTTTTGAGAGACGATAGTCTTTTCCAAATTAAGCCATGGGACCTCTTACCCAGCAGCATATTTTGCAGTCGCAGAATCCGCCTTACTGTGTCATCACTATGTACAGTTCCCAGACAGTGGGGGATGGATGCGACACATCTAGTTGAAAGGTGCGAGGGCTGTGAGCACAGATGTTAAGAATCCAAATGATAAAAGGACAGAGTATTTCTATGATTCCGTGATAACCACCTGCAAGATCTCTTACCACTTCCAGGCTAAGGTGGGACAGACTTTTTCTGCAGCATTAGGGTTGTCTGTTAGAGGGGATACTTCAAACTGTAACGGTGCTGCAGTGTGCATGGCAGTGGCTCCATGGGGTAAACGCTGCACCTCATTTTAAGCGTATGGCATGTGTCTGTCCATCAGCAAGGGCAGGCTTGGGCTTTTCTAGGTACAAATAATTCATCTCGCGTCACATGCATGAATCGGTGCAGCCCGTTTGCCTCTGAGTTCATGTGAAATTGAAGTGGCAACGTTGTTTGTTTTGGGGTTTTTCTGGTTTGGGCTCAGCACAGGCACCCTACTTCTAGTTTTAGCCCCATTATTAACCTCCTCTTTTTAATGGTTTATATTACAGAGTTATTACTGGATGTTAGGAGCTTGACTTCATTTTTATTGACCTGACTTAGCCTAAGACAGGCCTGAATCTGCAGAGAATACATAAAATATCAAACTCTGGGTTGTTCAAGAGTGAGCCTGTCTTTGCCTTCTGTTTGGATGGTCTGGCTCAGCATGTCCTAAATCTGTTCCAGTTTGTATAAATATTTGTGAATGCTTAGTAGGAGGGAGACAGACCTCCCATTCCACCCGCTAAAATCCTCTGTCTCACTAATATGTGTCACCTTCGACTCATTACTGTTGCTGTTGATCCCTGTTGTTTTTTGCTGGTATTTAAAAGCTAAGCCTGTGCAGTGACCTTCAGCCAGCAGCAGGCCACAAGCCCAGTCCTACCCCTGCATGTTCAGCATTGCTGATATATCCTGACTTTCCTTATACTTTGCTTTCTACTTGCATGGCAAATAAGTCTGTAATTTGAATTTTCTTTTTCAAGTGTTCCCTTCCAGGAAGAATTCTATAAATTACCATTCTGAAAATCAGATGATCAGATTTTTTTTTTAACAGCAAAAAAATTATCTTTAAATCTAAAAGCTGATAAAATATACAGCCTCTGCTCTGGCTTTCACTTTCTGAAGGAGATGCATATAAACCCACTGCTTTGCAATCCTCGTGCAAGTGGTGTATTTGCAGTGCCTCTGCTTTGGGTTGTCCCAGGCTAGTTTAAAGGATTGCAAGGACACTTTTCTTAGATGTGTGTTGCTAAAGATCATGCTTTCAGTGATAATCTATTGGTCAAGAAAAAACCCCAAACCTTAATAATTATGCAGTATTTTGAAATTGGTGGAAAAAGCTTAACTCAAGATCAATGTATGCATGATGCATGGTTTTCTTTGTGCAGTTAACAGTTTTAGCACTAAGTAATGTTAAAATTGATTTTGGAGCCTGTTGAAATAAGGGATAGGTTTTCCTATCAGGTCAGACAACAGTGCTCATTAAGCATGATGAGCTCTGGTACTGTGGTGCTGTATTTCACGTGCTGAATTATAAGAGGATCAAACAAAACTTCAGAACCCAAACTCTCATTTTCATGACTGATGTCCTATTTTCTAAAGAACAGATAGTGTAAGTACAGTATGCTAAAACACACAGCCAGTTTTTTTATATGTTGTTCTTGTTTAGGTCTCATTTCCAGCTAAATAAGTTTATTCCAAAATATTAAGTATTCCCCAAGTGATTCCCATTCTTAAAATATGGTTAAGCAAAGGTCAGTTTAGCCCCTCACAGCACCATTTTAAAGGATAACATGACGATGCATTTTTCAGCTTGTCTTCTAAAATAAATTTGGAAGCTTCTCCAAGCAGATCATTGACTTAACATGTGACAATATGTCCCAAAGTTCCCTGAGGATTTTCACTAATGTATTTTCACTGAAAGAGAGAGAAATTTTTGGCTGAGGCCACAGCTGATATAAATCAGCATAACTTCATTGGTTCCAGCTGAGCCTCTCAAATCTATACTAGTTGAGGAACCAGGCGATATGGAGAAAATTATTTCGCTGAATTGATTACTTTGTCAAAAAGATTAACCTGAAACATTTTTACCATTTCAGAGTTAATGTATGTTCATGGCAAGGAAAAGGATTACATTCATCAGGACACAATTAATGAGGGATGGCAGCTTTTGACAGGAATTAGTATTTATTTTTTTCTTTTTGTTATAGATCTCATGCAGTTTTAAGTTTCGCTGAGATATTTTATACACACGTTTTGGTAGTTGAAAACACTTAAGAGTAGCTAACTCCCACAATTGTAGGTTTCCTTTTCCTTTCTGAATTTATGATCAGGGAGGTTTAACTTAAGCATTTTTATTTATGCAGAATAAATAAAACCAAGGTGATATATTTAAGAAGCAGTGGGCCCACAGAATTGGTGAGGGAGCACTGTGAATACAAATAACCTGGTGATGTTTGCTCGGGTACATAGACAGATCCAGGTGCTCTTTAAAACATTCAGTTTTAAACACAGTGCTGAACAATTTAACAGTAGTGCTGTTGTGCTGAGTCTTCCAGAAGATGCATTGCTCTGAGTCATTGAGCCAAATATGATGTTGGTATATCCATATAAAAGAGTACATGAAAAGAGAATGTGAGTATCAATGAAATTAAAAAAAAAAACAACCACCAAACCATTGTGGTAAAATAAATACATAATTTGAGTTAAAGAAACAAATTCAATTCTTCAATTTCCATTTCAGTTTTTAGGACAATTTTTCCCCCTGTATTATGTTTCTGGATGGTTTTCATTCAGTAGTAAGTGCAGCAGCAATTGATTTTTTTGCCTTCATTTATGTACGTATAGCTGCTTGTTCACATGATTATTTCATGTGTTTTCTGCCATACCATATGTGCTGATGGAAGCCAACACTTAATGTACTTTATTTTAGTAGTAAAAAAAAGCTTTGAAGAAATCTCAGCTATATCTCAGTCTATATAACAGTCAAATTTACCTTTAATGTACAGGTTAGAAATGTGTATTTTCTGTTTGTAATTGAATTTCTCTCAATCTATCTTCATTTATTAGCTGAAATAGAGCATTTTTATTCATGTTAGTGTGCATCAGTGCAGGCTTGATGCTGTCTTTGTCAAGCAGTAAGTGGGAGGGTAATGGAGACACAGTTTGTGAAATGTCACCCTAGTGTAAACACATTGTTCTGATCCCTACACAGAAGAACTGATGACGTATGTGTTTTCTTTAGGCAAGGGGAAACTGTGGTATTCTTCTAACAATCAAAATTATTCAAAGAGAACAGTGTTTTCAACCCAGAATATTCAAAAATGTATGGTAGTAGTTTCTGTGATTTGTAGGCAGGTCTGGTTTATCTTGACCGGACAGCAACAAATTGACCCATGTGTCCTTCTGAATGTGATGCTATTGACCTGTGACCCATCGCTAAGTGCTTGATATTTGATTGCTGCTTTTGTTGGCTTTTTAAATCTTGGCCCATTTTATTTGTTTCCTTATGCCTATTTTAAACTTTTGGAATCTCTGGTTTATGAAGATACTCACATTTTGAAAGGAAATTCAAAATGTTCTGGGTACAGAACTTCTGTGATTCTGGTTATTTCTTCTAGGCAAACAAAATGCAGGTGAAATGCTGAGTGGTCCCAACCTCTTCTGAGAGCTGTAAAATATTTGGCATTTTACAAGTAAAGGCCTTAATCAAGAAGCTGAGCTGATCTAGTTTCACTGCATGATAAAATTGGAAAGCACAGAGAATGAAGCATCAGATGTTTGAGATTCACCTCCCAAAAAGGCACCAAATTTCTGCAGTAGAGTTTTGATTTGTTAAAGATTGTGTGAGGCTCTGGGAATTGGTCATGCTTTAGACATTTAATATTCCTCTCGAGATTATGTTAATAAAACTGGTAAAGTGCCTGTTTCAAGGCTACTTTTTGTCAGAAGGTCTAAACAGCAGTCACCATCTACTGCTAAATTACTTCAGAAAAACAAGCTTCACTCTAATCTTGATTCCTGTCTAAGCCTTGAGGTCATTCTGGTAATTGTTGACATTGTTTGAGCTTGTGTGTAAATTTTACATGACCGTGATTTCAGTAACAGTTGTCCAAAGTCTCTTGTTATTAGAAACTGGGAAGGTGGCTGAGGGGAAGCTGATGGAGCTTCATCTTCCAGTGTGCGTAACAGTGGGGTCACAGAGCCCTTTTATTTAAGAAGTTCAGTTTTAAAAACTAAGTAAAGGAATAAGCTGGTAATCTGTGAACAGGACTTCTCAGGTACTTGTATGGGTTAGGCATTGTCTTCTTGCTGGAGTTTATTACTGCTCCACAAACCTCCTCTGCGTTGCCCAGACAAAGGTACTTTATTTAGATTTTGGTGATGATAATCTGCATAGCCCCTGTTTGTGTTTGTGAATATGGGGCTTCCAGCACATTGAAATCCATCTTGGCTTGGATATTAACA